TGGTACCATAAAAACTAGGAAGAAGGTATTTAGGTTAGTTCCAGCTCATAGGGTTCTGGGCCCTGAATCTGAAATACATGCATAAGGATGTACCTTCCACACCATAGAAAAAAGTAAGGGTAATAGCATAGTTTGTAATGTATGGAGAGTCTCTTGGATGACCTTGACTAATCACTCAAAGAAAGAATTTTTCATGTTTGTTTTTGGGGTTTTTGTGTTTTGGCTCATAAAGGGAGCATTGCCAACACAGATGGGAAATTTAAATTTAAACTATATATGTATATTTATATTCCATTATGTGTGTGTTTAGGTAGATAGTAAATGATATGTTTATTTGTGACTTTTTTAGACTCTTTACTCTTATTCTACCCTCCTCTGTTCTAATTTTGTATTTATCTGCCTCGTCCCTTCCTAATTACAGCCCCTCTTTTCTCATTTTTTCCCTAAGATTACTTGTACCCTGCTATTCCCCTCTCTCTTGCTCCCTTACCATGCTCTCTCTCTCCCTCTATGTGTGTGTTTTATTTTGTTTTGTTATTTTTTGTCTTACTAATTTCTCTAGGTTTTGTTTGTAAGATTTTAGTTTTTAAGTTTTGTTTTAGTCATTTAGTTTTTGAGAAAAAGGAAAAAAAACATGAAGTTGGATAGGTAGGGAGTGGGGAGAATCTTGGAAGGAGATGGGTAGGGAAAATATGATGAAATATATTGTTATGAAATATTTAATAAAATTAAAAATATTTATTTGATCATTAACAAAGATAAATGAAGGATAGATTTCTGGCATTTATTTGATAATTATACCAATAGAATTGCATATAGGTTTTAGAATAAATTTCTAATATGTGTTTATCTGTCATCTGTCTGTTTTTCTATCTATCTATTGATCTTGGAAGTAGTATTTTTTAAATACCCACACACAGTTATTTTAAGACTAGCCTATCATTTGAAAACAAAAATTTAGCTCCCCTTTCTTGAATGGCTCAAAGTGTGAAAAAAATGAACTTTGTATTAAATATCAGCTTAAGTCTGAGGAAATGCTTCAATGGTTCAATCACTTACCACACAGGGTGGAGGATCGGTGCTTGAACCACCAGAACTTGCATGGTGCAGGAATGGTGGCACATACCTATACGGAGTTGGGCAATGAAGACAGGATGATCTCCCATAGCTTACAGACCAGGAAGTGTGATGTGACACAGTGGTGGTTACCATGTGATCTTATCTCAAAAACAGTGGATAAGAACAGACACCCAAGATTGCTTTCTAACTTCCATGTGTACACGGTGGTAGACATGCACTGGCACTCACACAACATACCTAAACGCAAACACACACACACACAAGCACACAATTAAAACTAAACATTGATTTCTTTGGTAACTGTTGGGTCTAATGCATCTTTTGACGTTATATATATATATTATATATATAATATATATATATATAATATCTATATTATATATATATAATTTTTTTTCATGGCATGCTGTTCAAATATAAACTGTGGTTGCGCTTATCATTTGTGCCAAGAACATAGCAGATAGAACAAAGAGCTTCTGACCTAGCTGATTATTTTCAAAAATCTTTCTTTATTCTAATCAAAGTCCTATTGTCAGATGCACCTACTATATCTCAAGCATTTAATTTAATCAGCACCTTGATCCATTTAAAAATATGACCATTTTCATGTTACATTTGAAGATATGGAAACCCAAAGAATCTCAGGTCTGTCTAACACTAAAGCATCTGGGAGTTTACATTGTTGTGGTTCAGCAGCCTTCTGCAGAGCACCTGCTGGCCTGATGGTCCCCTCTGTTATCTGATGGCTATGTCTCTACCCAAGACACAGTGTTCCTAATTCTATTATCCCATAAGAAAGTTCACATCCTTGATATCATGTAGTTTTCTGTTGGGTATTAAATCTTATTGAGTTTATGTTTGTGAATGATATGTCCTTCATGTGCTGTCATTCTAATGTCATTTTATTTTTCATAATATTTTAAAATTGAGCAGTTTCTAACATATGGAATATAGTCAGCTGTATTGCTGAAATTAGGATGTCATTCAGTTAAACCATCAAAAAATCAATGGAATTCTAGAGACCCCAAGTTATTAAAAAATAAAATATAAATTGAATATTTCAGGCATGAGAGTAAATAGCTTTAACAAATAACACAGGGACTTGTATCTAATGAATCAAAGCATACTGTTCATAATTTTGTGGTTTTATATCATTTGTTAACTACTTGCATAAAAACACTCTTTCTTGGTGAACTGTAGAACATGCATGGATGCTGCTTCATTTCATTCTTTTTCTTTCTCAGACAGGATCTCACTCTGTAGCCAGGTTGGATTTTTTTCTTGCAGTGATCCTCCTTCCTGTCTCCCAAGTGCTGTGATTACAGGAACACCCTATCAGAGCTTTACTGATGACATTGTTATATTTATATATACCACACCTCACTGAATGTTTTAAAAACTCAGTAACATTTTAGTGAAAGTTAATGCACACAGTATTATGAATGTGGGTTATCCTCATACATGGTTGATAATGGGAAGATATTTTCCTTTCAATGGGAAGATATTTCAGAGCTGGGCACAAGATTGAAAGGAATTTGTTATTGACATTTTTGTGAAAGATGTAAGTTCTTAAGAAACACACATGTCAGGATGTTAGCAATTTTTGGCAGTTAGCACGATTAGTTTGAGAACTCAGGATGGTAGTTCCAAATTGTTGGTAATTTAAAGTAATCAAACCTGTCTGAAACAGTCTTCAAAGGTTGGTTAAACATCTTATAAAATTCATTAGCAAATCCATCTGGACCAGAGTTTTCTCCAGCTGGGAAGCATTCATTACTGTTCTTCATTTCTCATGGTTTATTATAGGTGTGGTTTATTCTTGGGGTTTGTGGATAGTTAGATTCAATAAATGAATTAAAATAACTGTTTATTATATATCAAAATATTCTTCTATAGTGACCACATATGAAAATGTTAGGTAATTAGTTTTTACATATCTCATTTTATATAGATTTTTTGTTTTCTATGTACATTTAAATTTTTAAATGGTAAAAATTATGACTGTTTTTAGAAAAATCTTAACTCCATTACAATCTGATAGTAAGATGTAACTTTCTGAATACATAAGTCTTCCTAGAGATGCTTAATTCTATAAGCTGGCATATTAACATATTCTTGATGAATTATAATGAAAGAAAATACTCAAAAGCATGTAGAAAAGGTCATTTGAATATATGTTCAGTTAAATTTCACTAACATTTGTTAATCCTTATTTTATGACATGTATTATCATATGTTCTAAAAATAAGTATCAATAAAATACAATGAATAGTTTATAAAAAGGAAATAAAGTAAGAGACATAATATGAATTGTATTAAAGTTTGGTAAATGAAGCAAAAGAAACCGGGACTGAGTACAGGAGTGGCCAAAACAGAAGAGCTCAGATCTCCCTCCATGTTGTAAAAAGCTCCAGACATGGATTAGGCAGAAAGAGAGAACCTTCTAGGCAGAAGAAATTGGAAGAGATAGCCCAGAATATTCAGAAACATGTCCTTGCTCTCTTTCCTCGACAGTGTCAGAAAAGAATTGCTGGGTCTGACTTTCTCAGCATAAAATTATAAATGTGCAAAGAGTACCTTCATGCCATAAGAGAAATCTCTCCTGATTTGGGGACCAGTTTCCTATAAATCTCTGCTCCACTCAGGCAAGCACAGAGGAAACCTAAAAAAGATGCAAATCCTTCCATGCTCCACTGTGTGACTCCACAGAAGCTAAGAAGCAGAAAGTGGAAGGTAGCTGTCAGAAACACCGGGTATGTCTTGGTTACATACACTTAAGCAGACATTCTTTTTCAGGGGATCTAAACTTGATATATATATATATATATATATATATATATATATATATATAAAGTTTCCTAAGAGTACCTCAAGGCTGAGTCTACTCATGCCAATGCAGTTGCTGTTGGCCTCTGTCATTGACCTGTCATTTAGTGGTACTTTGCTCTCACTCATGACCAAGGATCATATGCATGTACTAAATCACCTCTTTAGATTTCTTACATTAAAAAAATAAAGAGATGAACAAATGGAAATAGATGAGATAGAAATAGATGAGATCAGCCTATTAGGACATATGATCAGAAAATAACCGATGTTATTTTCTCATCAGCTAGGTTAAAAAATAAACTTCGGCCAATGTTCCTGTCAAAATTACTAAACAGGCCACAGTGTGCCACTGGCAGACTTCATTTAGGCTTAAAATGTTAGAAAGGGTCAAAGAACGTTAGACAAGGGCATTATGCTGAGCAAAAGCCTCTGTTTCCTCCAGGGACGAAAGAGTGCCTTTTAGTTTCCCAAGGCATTTGTCGTACTAAATTCATCTGAAGGGGCTCTTCCCACAGAGCATAGACCCTGTTGGCTTGTACAGTTTGGTCCCCTTCACAGCGTGGGGTAATGTTGGTGAAGGAGAACCCTTCTTTTATAGAATCACATACAGAAATATATGAGCACATCTGCACACATACAGCTATTTCACTCAATTGTTTTAAAAAACAATTTGTACTGAAGGGAGGGAGGTAATTAATGAGTATCAAGACTAACTCCCTTAAAGGGAACACAGGCAGGTCATTTTACTACATATTTATTACATATAACTGACCTTCAGATGACAGCATGCTTGGAAGAAGGAAAATAATACAGCCAGAGACAACATATCTTGTTCTGTCTGGCAATCATTCCTCCGGTCTCTGAGACAATGAATTGGACCAGAGGAAATGAAAAGGCAGAGAAAACACCTGGGAAAGATTTCCAGACTGTAAACACCAGTCACTTTTGAGCCCCTCCTGCTGCCGTCGCTTCCTCCGGAAGCATACGGAAACATACGGGCACCATCCCTCCCTCGTGCTGCCAGAAGAGACGCAAAGCCTGTTACCTCTGAGGAGCCGTTGAAGGTTTGGAGTGTGAGTCAACGTGCGAAGATGTGGTTCCATATTCTTCCTGGCCTTTCCGCAATAGGCGTGTGCTTGATCATCCCCGGGGTGTCCACTGCATACATCCACAAGTACACCAACGGCGGCAAGGAAAAAAGAGTTGCCCGACTTCATTACCAGTGGTATCTGATGGAACGAGATAGACGCCTCTCTGGAGTCAATCGCTACCATTTGTCCAGGGGCCTGGAGAACATTGACTAAGGAAGCATTTTCCTGGCTGATGGAAAACCAGAAGTTGTCAGTTATGGTCATCTGTTCCTGCTAGAAGTCTATGCAGCATAGTATATACTATACACGTGTTACGTGCTGCTTAATACAAAATTAAAAACTCTGCTGTAAATGAGTAGTGTTGTTTCAGTGCTTGAAATACTACTGGTGGTAGAAGAGAGGGGTTAAACTTGGAACTTCGTGGTCCCCCCCCCCCCATGGGAGTTTAGTTTTCTTTTAGACTTGGGTAGACATTTAGTATTAAGGTATACCCACACCTTAGCCTCATATTAGGGTGATTTTCCCATTTGCAAGAAAGGGTACCTTAAATATACAATAAAATTAGAATATTTTCTCCAGTCTAGTGCAGACTTTTAGAACATGTCACCAAATTTTGATTCTCTGAGAGTTTGGGGAGATAGATTTACTATCAAGAGAAATTAGAGTTAGAAAATTTACGTTCAAAGCTCAGCTGCCATCCATCTGCTTCTACCATAAAGTACAGTTGATGCTCTGTTTCTATCACGAAGAAACCTTTTTTAAAATTTTTTATGTTTATTTTATTTTAATGGAGTTTAAAAATAACCTCTTCACACTAAATATTCAAAAATAATAAAAAGAAAAACAATCAAACGAAATTTGCACTTTTCATAACCCGTGGATTCTTTTTGATGGCACCCAAGCAACTCATTTTTTCACAGAGGACGCTAGGGACACCAAACATACCTTCAAAACTATGGCTTTGCAAAATATTTGTAGAAATTCCACTCCTTCATAGCAACAGTTTCCAGTTACCACTTGCTAAGCATGTCCTAATAATTTAATCAGTATTTCCTCATCAATAAATAGATGTGTTTCATAGGTTTACTGGATTCTACCCCTGAGGTGCTTTAACAGCCAACTTTGTTTCTGTGAAGCTCCACATCTGAGCCATGGTTCTTTTCTATTCTGATGGCCCACATCAGAGAAAATATTTAGCTTTATAAATAAAATAGTCTTCTAAACTGACACAGAGTTAACAATCTGGACATGGAAACATTCACCAAATTACACCATATTGTGAAATTAGGGAAGTCGGCACCTGGGGTTCTTTTCAAGATAAGGGTAATAGAGTTGAAGAGAAAAAATGTGGAAGCTGTCCCAGTATTAAGTCAGAGAATGACTTTGACATTCTGATATGTTCAGAACACTCAGTACCTTCTTGTCCTGGTCATCAGCATCATGTCTTTGTACCTTTCCTATCATGCTATCCTTTTGAACCTGTGCTTCACTGGATCAAAATGGAATCTTCCCTAGAAACCCTTAATGTCTTTTCCACTACTGCAAAATACAGACAAGGGCACTTCATTTTTCTTTCTTTTCCCTGCCATCTACATAGACAAAGACTCTAGTCTCTCAAGGTACTCTCTGGGAAGATATGCATGTCCCTATATTTCTTCCTATATTTAGTGGCCAATGAAATTTTAATGTAGCATAAATTGAGCCATATGACCTTCACCACTTCTAAACACTTCTTGGTCTTAGAAGGTAATTCATTCTTGAATACTTGTCCTGAGGAATCCACCAACACCAAATGTGTGCATTCTCTATAGTTTATATCACTTGTGCTATGTGTAGAAATGCTCTAGTCAAGATTTGAAAATGCTGAATCATGGCAATTCCATTTTGAACTCTTAAAAAAGCATTCATGGTGCATCTTTTTTTTTTAACTTTTCTTAATTACACTTTATTCATTTTGTATCCCTCCCCATAACCCCCCCTCCTAATCCCACCTTCCCTCCCCTTTCTTCACGAATGCCCCTCCCCAAGTCCGCTGATAGGGGATGTCCCCCTCTCCTTCCTTCTGATACTAGTCTATCAGATCTCATCAGGAGTGGCTGCATTGCCATCTTCTGTGGCCTGGTAAGGCTGCTCCCTCCTCAGGGGGAGATGATCAAAGAGCAGGCCAATCAGTTTATGTCAGAGGCAGTTCCTGTTCCCATTACTATGGAACCCACTTGGACACTGAACTGCCATGGACTACATTTGTGCAAGGGTTCTAGGTTATCTCCATGCATGGTACTTGGTTGAAGTATGAGTCTCTGGAAAGACCCCTGTGTTCAAATTTTCTGGTCCTGTTGCTCTCCTTGTGGAGTTCTTGTCCTCTCCAGATCTTACTATTTCCCACTTCTTTCATAAGATTCCATGCACTCTGCCCAACAGTTGGCCATAAGTCTCAGCATCTGCTTTGACAGTCTGCAGGGCAGAGCCTTTCAGAGGCCTTCTGTGGCAGGTTCTTATAATGCCTACAATCTTTTACATTTCTATTAACAGTGCACAAGGACTATTCTCTCTCCACAAATGCTTACTTTGGTTGTCTCTTGTCTTTATAATCGGCATATTTGCTTCAAGATAGGACTTCATAGTGATTTTGCTTTTATTTTTCTAGTGATTAAAAATAGTGATGGTTGTTTTGAATATATTACCAATTGAATGTATTTTTGGGAAAGTGTTTGTTTGGAACACTAATACATTTAAAAGTTGGGTTTCTGTCTTACTGAATTCTCTATGTCCCTTATTGTTTACAATATTTACTCTCTATTAAGTGTGTGATTACAAACTTTCCCATTCTTCGGGCTTTTCTTTGTCCATTTTGCTGATTAAATCTTTTATTGATAAATTTTACTTATTTTTCTTGAATTCTGTGGTTTATTCTTGAACTTCACATATAAAACCTATGATGGAACCGTGGCATTGAATTTTCTAATTTACTTTTCAGAGTAAAATGATATTTTGTTTTTTTGAAATCTCTTCTTATACATGGATGTAAAGATTTACTGGCATTATTAATTTAATATGTCATCATCGTCCTTGGATCTTTACAGTTCTTGTGTCTAAAAGTAATTGGGTAACAACTTGAACATATATATATATATGGCTCTGTGTTCCCATTTGGCCACAAGTATGTTTTAATTTCTATTGCCCTGTCTAGCTTTTCATTTATAATAAGGAATATGCTTCAGGCTTATTCATTTTTCAAAGTTCTTTTAGCTATAGGTTGTGATTTGTTATTTTCTTTAAATTTATAATGCCTCCTTTTATTCCTGTCTCTGTACATTAGAATGTCCACTGGAGTTGCATTGGTTCTAAAGATAACATCTCAGTACAACCATCTGACCAATAATAATTATGAAAAACTAGACTTGGGCTACCTTTTCAAATATTTGTGTCTTTTATTAAGGTTTCTATAATTTGCAACTAAAAGAAAATGATACCCTATTTGTTAAATTTCTCATAGGTAATTATTTTAATGCTATCATAAAGTGGAAAACTCTTTGAGTTTCTTTTTGGGTAATTTAGTGCATACAGAAACATAGCTGATGTTTTTATTCTGGCTGTTTTCTTCAGCTTTCCTAAATGCATTCATTGAAGCAAGTTCTTTTCAACTTGGACGCCTTTATATATTCTTCTTTGTTTATTCATGCAAGGAAATAAAGTATTGTTTTGAATACAAGCCATATATGCATTATTAATCTTATTAATAAGATTTTTGATCTTAAAGGAAAAAATGCTTAGTTTTTCACCTATGTGTATGGTGTGAGCACTGAGTTTCTTTTAGATGGACTTTTATGTGGTGAAGTACATCCCTTCTGTACCAGTTTGTTGAGAGTTTTCATTGTAAAATATGTTCAATTTTGTCACTTTGTCTGCATCATATAGATGATAATGATTTTTTTTTTTACTCTGTGTTTGAGGTTTAGAGCTGCCTTTGTTGGACATGGAGTCTGGACCTTTTAATCAGGCATGCAATTATGTTTGCTAGTATTTTGATACAGTATTTGTTATGGATGTTGATCTTTAATTTACTTTTCCTCATTGATTGGATATTATGGCTAATACTTACCTAATACAACAAGAGCATTTCATCTTTTAAATTTGGCAAAGATGTTTCTTCCATAAAATGTTTGGTGCAATTCACCAGTGAAGTCATCAGTTCTGAGGCTTTGCTTTTTGTCGCCTGTATTACAGATTCAACTACCTTTCTCATTATCGCAGTGTTCACATTTTCCATTCTGCTTAATATGATATATTTCTTGGCAGTCATATGTTTCTTCTAGATCATTCAATATTTCTGTTTTTTTTTTTTTCATTTTCATCTTTTCTGCATGTCTCTGTGTTTGTGAGTGATGTATGTGTGTGGTGAACTCACTTGAGTGTGCAGAGGTCCCTTTTACCTATGGATTGCTGCCATACTGATTTGAAACATGGTCTCTCATTGACCCAAAGCTCTCCATTTCCAATAGGCTGGATGACTAGTGAGTTCCAGGCCTCGGCCTGACTCTGTCACCCAGTTAGTTTTTGCTTCAGCTTGTCTAAGATTCTTCACCTCTCTATATATCTGAAAGAGTTAAAACATTTTGATTGGGAGGTGTTCTAACATTCTTTCTGTACTTTAAACTTTCATCCTAATGTTCTTCATGATTGCTCGAGGAAATCTAACAGCTTTTTATGAATGTGTTGTACAAAGAATTTAGCATTTATGCTGCTTTCAAAATTCTCTCTGTCTTTTACTTTTGGAAATTTGCTTGTCAACTGTATCATTGATGTTTTATATCATTAAATGTGATTAGAGATCTTTGAGCCTCACACACCTGGATGATCTTTGGGAGCCTTCTGGCATTATTATTAAAACACACACATACACACACAAGTAAACACACTTCTGAACAGGTTCCTGATATAGTGCACTGAAAAGTTTGTAGGATCTTCATATTTATATACAAAGATAATAAAATATATACATGTTTCTGTATAATAAACATTTCAGTAAAGGTTTTACATCTTGGTGCCAAGACTGTTAAGAACTTCAATTATTACATTTTTTAGGAAGTCATTACAAAGCTGAAAAATTAATCAATAGGCACATTTACTTTCAGTAAGTAAAAGACTATTTACCTTAGTCAATAGATTTTGTTTGTTCTTTATGAAAATAATTCAATCATTAATTGATGTTG